TGAGTCTTTGTGAGCATCAGGAAGGATAAGTATCAGATTCAGACTTACCTGAAGAACCGTGGACTCTTGGATCATCTGTAATAGCAGGAGGAATCCACTTTTGTGCTCCTGCAGCTCTCCTAGTCTCCGCCTCTTAAAGGCACCTTTTATTCTCTAACTGTGCAAGGCACATCCAGCTCTAACCATTATGTGCATGCAGTGATTTCTCTCTGTGTGTCAGTTGCCTCACCTGTAAAACAGGGCAGTTGGATTTTTAAAAATATATATTTATTGATTTCAGAGAGGAAGGGAGGAGAAAGAGATAGAAACATCAATGATAAGAGAGAATCATTGATTGGCTGCCTCCTGCACGATCTCCACTGGGGGTTGTGCCCACAACCCAGGCATGTGCCCTGACTGGGAATTAAACCGTGACCTCCTGGTTCATAGGTTGATGCTCGACCACTGAGCAACACTGGCTAGACAGGGCAGTTGGATTTGATGTCTTTTCAAACTCTGTGGTAACCTTTCAGGTATTCATGCTTCCAACTGTTCCTGCTTTTCATGCAAGTTGCGGAATAGTGTTTCTCAGCTTTTAAAATTCATGTCCCAAGTGGCCAAAAATTCAGATATGATCTCACCTCACAATTCAGAATGCACCTCCTGTTCCGTTGGAACCCACTTCAACTCCTGCACAGCTTCTAGAGTCAAAGAAACTCCGCAGGGCTTTAATTTCTGTGGTTTGTATTCTGAGAATAAAAGAGACTTTTGACATTTTTCCAAGTATAAAAATTGTAATGTCTGCTTTTTCCAACAACCCCCTACCACTCACTCCCTAGAAGAGCCCAGCCAGCTCTCAGGCTGTCACTTCAGCTCGCCTCACACCTCTCTTTTGAGTCTCTGCTCTCACATCATTTAAAGATATTGATTATCTACTCCACCACTGACCCTCATCTCTTTCTTTTTGTCCTGGTTGCCTGTGGTTGTTTTCAGTTTTCAGATGAGAAAGGCAGTTGCTGCTAAGGCTCTATTTATAATATGTCCTTGAAAGCGGAATGCTGACTTCTTGAGCTAAAGAAACTGGCAGGTAAGAAGAAAAGACACAAGACAGAGGGTCATCCTCAGTGAGAATGACCCAGGACCAGATGCATGAGTGTGGGCACACAGAAATGTGCACACACACGCACACACAGCACACACATGCACACACATGCAGGCATGCACATACATAGCATCCAAGTCAAAACAAATAAAAATAAAAGAAACCAGAGGTCCAGGGAAAAGAACATGATAGAAACTTGACACACATTTGGTGAAAAAAGAAGACAAGAAGGGAGGGAATGATGGGAAAAGCACTGAACTTGGAGTGAGGGACCTTAATTTTAAGTCTGACTCTGCTTGATTTATTCGATTTAGAAGAAATTTGAGCTTGGGCAAGTTTCTTGGCCTCTCTGGATTTTGGTATCTTCTTACCTTGAGCAGATGTAATATTTCCTTTCCAACTAATCTCATAAGATTGTTATAAAAATCAAGTGAAATGATGGCTATGGAAGAACTTTGTAAACTGAAAATACTATAAGCAATGAGGCCCAGCATCACTGTGAGAGCGAGCATTTTGTGGAGTGTTATTTACCAGCCACTATGACGTTTCCTGCCTACATCCAAGCACTTATTCTCACAACAATCTTGCAGATATAAACTATTATTCCTGTTGTCTGGACGAAGAAACATATAGGAGTAAGCAAAGTAGGTTTATAGTTGTGAGTACCTGAAACAATTTCTTTTTCTTTATTATTACTGATTAATTTTTGTATTATTTTTCATATGAACAACTGAAAACCTACTTCACCCACCCTTATATAGAGGTATGGTAATTTGAGGCAGGTCACATACCTAGTAAGTGGTCAACTTGGACTTGAGCAAGGCTTGCTGGAGTCCAACAGCCATTTCCTTAGCCACTCTGAATATGTATCCAGTGCCTTTACACATATGCAAATAAAAGGCAATCTTCCTCCCAGTGTTAAACAACATTCTATCAGTTGCTTGGGCTACCATAACAGAATACCACAGCCTTAAACAGCAGAAATATATTTTCTCGAAGTTCTGGAGGCTAGAAGTTTGAGGTCCAGGTGCTCACAGGGTTGGTTTCTGGTGAGGACTCTCTTCTTGGCTTGCAGATGGCTGCCTTCTCGCTGTGACCTCACAAGGCTCTTTCTCTGCACAGGTGCACTCCTGATGTCTCTTCCTCTTCTTAGAGGACACAAGTCCTGCCGGATCAGAGCCCCAACCTTATGACCTCATTTAACCTCAGCCACTTCCTTAATGGCCCTATCTCCAAATATATCACATCAGGATTAGGATTTTAACATATGAATTGAGGGGAGGGAGGGGCACAACTCAGTTCCTAATAGACATATAATAAACAAATACTCCAAAAATAAGGAGTTTGTCTGCTTTTTCCCCCCAAAGAGGGTTTTCTAATGTCCAATCAGCTAAACAGCAGCCACTGCAGCAAAATTCCTCAGCTCTGAAACCTGTCCAGATAACTGCTCTCCGTTCATGCCAAGCTCGAAAGGAATGAGCATTCTCTCCCTGTGCTTGAGAGCATTCTGAAGAAGGGAAAAGCCTGTCCCTTCTCCCCCTCTTGCCACTCATTCCTATTTATAGTTTCTGGTGCTTTAGGGTCTGAGGAGTCAAGAGTTCTCAAATCACTTCCAAGGCTTTGCAGCATGCTTCCCCCTCCCCCAACCCTCACAGCCATTAGAAACTGTTATTCCTGGTTCCCATGGGGTGGGGATGGGGAGAGAAGGGAAACAAAGAGAAAGATTTTCAGCATGCAAAACTGCAGGGTTTTAAAAAAAAATCCTCAGAGGAAAATAAATTGTGGTGTTTTCTGCTGAGGTCTGCCCTCGCGGTCTGCTCCTGAAAACTTAGCCAAAAAGTTTCATATTGACCTTCATCCTTGAACCCTACTTCACAGAGGTGCTGATTAGTCCAAAGGCAAGGCGAGAAAGGCCAGAAAGGTTTGTTGCCTGTATGCCAGAAACCATGAAAGGGTTTTACAATTCATCTCTCTAGGCCTAGCGACACATGACAAATTGCCAGCATCAATCTATCTAACAGTATCAGGCTTCAGAGCTTGGGAGCCATATGTTCACGACATTGCTTTGTGCAAATAGACGCTCTAAGTATGCATCGATCTGGCAAACTTCACGAGCATTTATCACAATGTTCTTTTGTCTCCCAACATGCATATTAATAAAAATAATACTGAATAATACCAAGTTGCAGCCAGGCACAAGATTCCAAACTGTAGGTTTCGTTTGCAAAGTTGATAAAGGCTATTTGTAATCATAAGAAGAAAAGAAAACTAGCCTAGTAACCAAAAGTTCTACGGAAGATTGAATAAAGCTTGTATTACAGTTTTTATAGGCGGATGGTGGAGGAAAGATAAAAATATGGTTGAACTTGATTTATTTCTGGTAAAAGTTCTGGATTGGGTGTTCAGCCATGTGGGGCAAGAACAAGCATTCTTCACTTTGGGAAGCTTGACTGTGTGGCTGTGAAATAAGTCACACCCCATATTTATTCACAGTGCTAATGTTACATTTTCTGGAAAAGAAATTAATATATATTTTTAAAATATATTTTATTGATTTCAGAGAGGAAGGGAGAGGGAGAGAGAGATAGAAACATCAATGATGAGAGAGAATCATTGATTGGCTGCCTCCTGCACTCCCCCTACTGGGGATCGAGCCCGCAACCCGGACATGTGCCCTGACCTGGGATAGGTCGGTGCTCAACCTGAGCCACAACTGAAGTTCTGAGCTTCTAAAGACAGCAAGACCAAGAGTTAAATTTCAAGTCAATAAATACTAAGGTAGCCCTAGCCGGTTTGGCTCAGTGGATAGAGTGTCGGCCTGCAGACCAAAGGGTCCTGGGTTCGATTCTGGTCAAGGGCAGGTACCTTGGTTGCAGGCTCCTCCCCGGCCTGGACCCTGCTCAGGGTATATGCAGGAGACAACCAATCGGTGTGTTTCTCTCACATTGATATTTCTCTCTCTCTTTCCCTCTCTCTTCCACTCTCTCTAAAAAATCAATGGAAAAATATCCTCGGGTGAGGATTAAAAAAAATACTAAGGTAGAAAAAACAGCTGGAGGGATATACGTCAAACTGATGATGTGAGTTATTGCTGGGGGTGAGTTTGTATAGGTCATCATAATTCCTTTTCAAAGCTTAACAGAGAAAAATATAGCGAATGCATGCATCCTTGGCAACCAAAATGAACACATGTTAACATTTAGTCAACTTTTCCTCAAATCTTTTCTATCAAATACATGACAAAAGTTGAAGATAAATTTGAAATTGCCTTTATCCCTTGCAAGCCCCATTTTCCTGTCTGCTCCCCCCATGCCCAGGGATGACTACTGCTGTGAATTTGGAATGTATCCTTCAGCCATAAATATATGTAGCCATCAATTATGTAAAGGTGTTGTTCTGAATGTCTTTAAACAGGTATATAAACATCTTAACATATAATTCTTCAACTTAAGTTTTTCATTCTCATTTCATACTTCCTTGCAGGCTTTCCTCCTATGTTACTTGCTGGCATTTAAAAAATGTATTAGTTATTAACAATTTTCATAACTTTAATAAGTCAAAGTCATTGAGAGACACCTATAGTTCTGACACCTTACGGATTATTATCAGAGAAAGCCACCCTTGTGATGTCTCTGTGTGGAACCAGTCAACCGTCTTTCCACTCAACCAGGGGCATTTCCTTTGATTAAACATGCCAGGCTCCCAACGCCCGAGCTGAGCAGAGGATTGATTGGATAACTCTGGCCATACTCTCACCATTGCCTAAGTATGATCTTTCCTTAAATACCTTAATAACCAGAGAGAGAGACTGTATTCTGAATTCCAAAATTATAGGACTAGAAAGAGGTCTAAGAAGATCAGTTATCATCAGGATAATAGGCTCAATTATCTGGTACAAAAAGGAGGCAGACACCTCGATGTTTTCATGTTTTATGGGTAGGGAGTGGATTTCTCAGCATCTTTCCCCTCTCTCCACTTACCACTTTCACTCCTTCCACAATGAAGGCGACCAAAAAGAAAATCCTCATCAGATCCTACAGAACTGAGAAGGGTTCCTTCAGAAAAAACAATATACAGTGTCCTTTGCGTTCTGTCTGCCATAATACCACTTGTTTCATTTAGGTAGAATCTGATGATGTTACACTTCAAATAAATGCAGAAGTCTGAGACCTTCTCAACTTTAACACTCTGTTTTTGGCTGGCAATTTTGCCTCAATACTCTGAAATTTCACGTAATAGTCTGTAACTACAAATAGGTTTCAGGAGAAGACTGATTTGATTTTTTTAATTTATCAATAAGGTTTAAATGTACTTTTGATTTACTAGGCTCCAAGGTGTCCCCTGGATTTATATTAGAGCAGCGTGTCACAGGAAGCAAGGACTGTCACTTATAGGATGCCACCCTCTGCCGACTCCCTCCATGTCCCTCCTCTGGCTGTAAAAATGTCCGTCATTCCTAGTCGGTTATGCCCATATATCATCTCAACACTTTTCCCAGGTTCAATAGAAGATGCTAGAATATTTGCTCATTTTTTCTGAAAAGACTCTGTACTGTATGTATGCATGGATGGCTTTCCAACACAATCACACAGAGGTGTGACTCATTCTTACACAAGAGTAAATACACAATGAAAAATTCCTTTTGCA